TTCATCGATCTTGCGTCGTCGTGTTCTCCTGTATAACGTCATCATCAACCGCCAAGGTTCAGTTCCAAAACTGCGTTCTTGATATCGAGGATTCGTCGATGCAGACTTGAGCATCGAACTCGCTCTAAAAGTCCCAGAAGTCATTGCGACGAAATAAAGGAGGTGGGAAGCACCAATGTAGATTTATTATTAAAGTTCGGAGACAAAACTTACTTATCTCAGGAAGTTGCCCAAAATTAGATGGTGAAAGTAAATATTAACATGAAAATCTTAATGAAAGCATGAACAAAATAAGGTAGTTTATTTGCTCAAATTTATATTAAAATCTGTTTTATTTGTATTGTGCAAAGTATATTCGTAAGGTTTTTGTGCATGCTATATAATGAACATATATAACAGACTTGAACCCCGTCTTCGTGGTCAGCTCCTCTCAAGTCTGCCAACACGGCGAGCTACCAGACAAACTGGTAACAGCAGCAAAGCTGTCCATATAAAAATAAGCAGTCAGCTGGTAAGCACGTAAAGGAACAGCCTCATACCGCCCCGTAGCACTCATTTTAAAGACGGAATACAGCCATACTTATTTCTGGCTACATAATTCGTGATCTCCAGAAATGTATATATATACTGTATATATTTCTTTTCCCCCAGTCTGGGTTTATACCTCATAATTTATCTTTTTTCTCTGTGTATTCAGAATATTAATAATATCCCAACATGGAAAAAAAGAAAAACGTGACTTTTTTTCTCTCTGGATTTTATAGGGCAAAAATTGTTATGTTAAAAAAGTCTAAATTGCAAGACATAGAATAACAATAAAAACAAGACAAACATAAAAAAAAACAATAACTGTATATATAAAATTATTTATAAGTCGGTAAAAACACATCTGTGATACTCTGTGAATATTAACATCATACACTGTAAAAGATGCTTAATTTGTGGATTGAACATAAAACATTTGAGTTGTCCTCCCCAAAAACCAAATAATTGTATTGTTTCAGCTCATTTTAAATAAGTAGATTGAACAAACAGTAAAAACATACTTTTTTTTAGTATAGTACTTAATTTTGCATCACACATTCTTGTAGCTGATGGTAGGTCTCCTATTATTTATTGACCCCTTCAAGGTCAACTCAATGTTTAAGTGTATTCCATTAGAAGGGTATTTTTTTCTCCCTTTTTTTTAAACGCATTGCCAAACCACACAGAAGGAAAGACAGATTTTTGCTCTGAAGTAATTTGGCAAGAGAGAAAGATGTTTTGGTCTGTATTTCTTCTCAGTTCCACACTCCAGAACAGGCAGAGTTGAAAGCTGTCACCAGGCTAGGCCAGGGCTCACATGTGTTTTGCTCTGAGCCATGTAAACCCAAACCCCAATCCACTTCTCCATTGCCCCATTTATAAATAAAGGCCTTTTAACAATGCATATTTTGAATAGTTTAGCTGTTGAGGGATTACATGTGACTTTTTCGTGCAGTGGAAGCTGAAGTTGATTATATGGTGATGACGAAGACCGATGTCACATCAGCCACCAGCGTTGTGCATGCGGGCAGTTTGTTTAAAGGATAGAAATGAAAATACATATTCATCTGAGTCTGAGACGTCCAAACAGCCAGTTAACAACCCCCAAAAGTCTATTGCTTGATAATTAACATGCTTTGATCTTGTAGAGACAACCTGTAATTACAGACAGCGAAAGCATAGCAAAATAGAAAGCTATATGGCTGTCACAAGGGGAGACACTGTCTTTGCTTTCAACAAGTTTGCTTGCTTTTTTTTTGAAAGCACAAACACAGCAATGCAGTGGCAGTAATGTTTTATATAATAAAATTATTCTTTAAATTAAGTTAATTTTGGGCTGCATGTTGGCTTCCTTAGCATAAAACATATGTCATAGTATTTTGCGACCACTGATGAATCAGGAACTATACCAAAGGATAGTAAGTGCAGTGAGAAGTTAATTCTAAAAATGTAACTAAATATTAGCTTTATTATTTTCACTTGCAGGAACATAAAACCTCTTGATGCTGCTTGTATTGTAGGAGACACTCAGATTTTAAAAACACACCAGTTCATTTTTTTAAGCTTCCAGTCTAATATACTGTTCACACAAAAAGTATTACCATTTTCTCAGAATGCAAAATCACATATGTCGTGCCAAGTGATGCACTATATGCTATGCACTATTAGCACTGCACTTTGTTCACAAACGTAAAATTATTTTTCCTTTAGCAACTTGTTATAGATAATGTCAGAATCGGTCTATGCATAAATATGCAACTTCTCTTGAGTAGCCTTGGTACTTGTTTTAGCATTAAATATGTATTAAATATGAATGTGTGTAATATGAACTTATTCTGGATGTACTATATCCTGTGTCAGTGTCAGTTACATTGTTTTGCATTCACAAATCCTCTCCCATGACCTCATAGCTTTTTGTATAAGTAGGCCTACTGGGAAATCGGGCATAGGCTTGCTACTTTTGTAAATGCTGTTTTTCACCTACTACACAGTAAAAAAAAATGCAGGGTTCCACACAATTCATTCATGTTGTCCCAACACAAATTGATTAAGTTAGCTTGACACGTTTACAAATTTATGTGAATTGAACATTAAGAAATTAGGTTGTCCCAATGAAATCTCAAGAATTTTGTTGTTTCAGCTCATTTAAATAAAAAAATGTAAAAAAATTTTTTTTTGAGTATATATTGTAGGGAAGTAATCAATTTTGAATGCTTATGCTGATATTTTGTAGTTTCAATATTTCCTTCTCCGTCTGAGAAATATTGTACAGTGTTATTTTTTAGGTATGCGATTCATTGTATATTTTAATAGTTTGACTTTTAGTTTTAATTTTACATATTTCCAAAATACAAGAGGGAATTCTTACATTCATAAGCGAAGGAGAAATGGCTTTAAAATCGTTTTGAATTCATTGAGAGGAATAAAAATTGTTTTGTTGTAATCCTGAACACAGATTTAACCTTGACAATGACGTCCAATTTTAAAACTTGGAGGGAGACCTTGGATTGGCTTATTTTGGTAAGCTTTACATTGATGGTGTTTTTGCCTCTTTTGGTCAGTTGGCCTTTCAATTTTGTGCACAAAAAAATGTCTACTTTCTATATGCACCTCCTGCTTCAGATCTGGACACCATACTGGGCGTAAATCCCTGTGCTAAAGGTTCAATTTCTAAATTATTTAATATAATTGTTAATCTGCAATTTCCTTCTGTTAACTTACGGTCCATCTAGTGTCAAGACATTGGAATTGACATTAACGAGGAGACATGGAAAGCGGTCTTGAACAGGGTTAATTCTTCCTTAATCTGTGCACGTCACAGGCTCATAGTGCATAGAGCTCATTGGTCCAAGAGCAGGCTAGCTTGCATCAACCTGTCTATTGACCCTGAGTGTGATAGGTGTCATTCTGGTTCAGCTACTTCAATCCATATGTTTTGGTCCTGTCCTTCCCTACTTTCTTTTTGGAGGCAAATTTTCCTCTCGTTGTCTGCTGTTATCACTGTTGATATTCCACCTTGTCCAGTTAATTTGGGGTTCTCCCACTCGGCCACACTTTACCCTCTCATTTTGTAGACTTTGTAGCCTTTATAACCCTTCTGGCTAGGCGATTAATTCTTCTGAACTGGAAGAGCCCTCACCTTCCTCAGACTTGTTGGATTAGAAATGTTTTTTTATTTGTAGGCGCCAATAACCGAGATGCTCGCGGCAACCTGAGTTTGATTCCCGGCTCGAGGTCCTTTGCCGATCATTCCCCTATCCTCTGCTTCCCACACTTTCCTGTCTGTACATCTCCACTATCCTATAATTAAAGTAAAAAACCCTAAAAAATTATTTTTTTTTTCTTTATTTTATGAAATTAGAGAAACTTAGGTACTCTCTTTACCGATTTAGCAAAATTTTCATTTAATTTTGGGAACCCCTTTGCAATCACAAACATGTCCAAACTTTTCAGCTTGACACTGCTCCTGATTCAGTCCACAGCCCCCAGCTCCCAGCTTGGTATTGGATACTAGTTCTGGTCAGCACATTGTAGACTTTTTTTCTGTGTGTACTAGTATTGCACTAGTATTTCATTTTATTTATTTTTAAAAATGTTACATTTAAATTTTTTTATTTATTTTTTTGCTCAAAATGCTCTTTAGTGTATTATTGTTACATGTTTATGTTGTCTTTTTGTATATTTTACAAATGTATAAATGTATAAATAAATAAATAAACTTGGAGCTCTCTTATCTTTCAGGCAGTTGTATTAGTTCATGGCATATTGAGATTTAAAGTTCAGTCATATATTTGTTGAAAATAGTTAATAATAATAATGTGTGGTTACTATGGTTTAACTATACAACAACTTTTTATTGTAGTCAAGCCATTGATTTTCATTAGGGGCAACGTAAAATCACAGACGACCATTTCACTATATACTTAAAATGCCAATCACTCCATCTTAAAGGCCAAAGTGCTGTGTTTTTTTGTCACAAAATGATTGCACGTTCTGTTGTAGCTGAACTCAGCAGGTGGATTGTGGTCTGTGAACTGTGCACGGCACAACCACATTTCATTCAACTCCGTTCAGCATCAGAGAATGTCAGCACACAATGCCGTCTTGGCATTGACTTCTACTGCACACTGTAAACAGCTGGACTGTATTTCACAAAAGACAAGTAACTTTTCGTTTTTGCGCAAACCCCAATCCAAGCGCTCACATTAATAAACCGGCTGTGGCCACATACTCTCATCGCCTCAGCCAATAGCCAGAGGGTTTACATGGAAGGCGGTAGATTTGTTATAGAGCGAAGGAAAAACGACAAGAAGAGAGACTCATGATTCAAGAGACAGAAAAGGTCATGGGATGCAAGTAGACGCACGCATACTCAAACTTACTCCAAACATCTCCACCTTATACATATATTCCACACACATGCTTGTTCAGACTCTTCCCCCCCATGCTCACTTTGACTGTCTCCTCTGTAATAGGCTCCAGATGTGGTGCTGAGGGGGTGAGGTGTTTGTATGTCATCTGCTCGGGCGGCTGCGCGTACACCCATCCGAGGGGGATGCTGTCAGCCCTGATGGAGGGGGCCCGGGCCCCAGGCCTGAGGTGGTGAGGCGAGCGGGTCACAGCCTACGCACATCTGGAAGCACTTCAGGTCAGCAGGGCCCAACTGCCTGAAAGGTGAGACGCTTCGACCTGACCTGAGCAGTGCAGCATGGAGAGCATGCAATAGTCTGGACCGAGAACAAGGCACTAGAATATACACACACATATATACACATGAGTCATATCACTAATCAACGCCCGTGGGTGTAAACACTAGTTTCGGAAAGCATTTTCGATAGGTTGGGCTGAGAATGATGAAGGGAAATAATAACATCCTCATCCAACATTGAATTGGTCAATATTCTTGAATTTCGAGCAGTTACAATCTTGCTGCTTTTTGTAAAAGGGAATAGCAACTGCGTGATTTATTTTACATCAGTAGGTGATTAAAGAATAAATGTCACAAATGTATCTGTTTGGATCACATTGTGTTTTAGATGTTGGAATAAGTGATGATAATTTATTTTAATAAAGCTTTTATTTAGTTTCATAGACACGAGGGAAATATTACTGAATTATTTTTGTTGCAATGAAATTTAGATCTAAGGAAGACAGATGCATTTTTTGGGTGATTCAGCATACATCTCTTATCATTTTGTCACTTTTTGCTTGTATTTATGAATGCAGTTCAGTTTGTTTGAGGTCAGCTATTGTTTGCTTTATTTTAACTTATAGGAATAAAAGAAATGTAAATAAAGAAGTTATCATAGTAAGTAGGATTCACGTTCCAAACACATTTACTGTTGTAAATTAATTTACATTTTGTTGGACTTGAAACTAAAATGCTTTAAATTGGGCAAAGCGATGTCATTCGCATGTACAGTCAACAAATATTGAGTTTAAAGGATTGGGTTACAGTGGAAATTAATTCTCAAATATTCCTTTCATCACATTGTTCTCCCAGCACAATAAGAGAGTATTACATCTATTATCTAATCATAACATGCTGATGAGGTGTTCATTATAATTTTTTTTTACTTGATTATAATATATATATATATATATATATATATATATATATATATATATATATATATATATATATATATATATATATATATATATATAGTAAACTTTTATCAAAACATTTATATAAATCCAGTTTAATTTAGTTTTAATTAAAAGTGGAAGAAATAGAGTTTATTTATAGCACAACCAGGATTAGCTAAAAAAAAACAGCCATTGCATTTAACATGCTGTAAAATCATTCCTGATAGTGTTTTCTATTAAAAGAATTTACCTGTAAAACAGGTCAGAAATGTTTAATTAATATAAAATAAATCTAAAAATCTAGTTTCATTCTCACATAGTTTCAGAACAAATAATAATAAAAAATGTTTATAACCATCAACATTTATAAGATAGAACTAAATTAATTTGCACAACTTATTTTTTAGCACTGGTGTTTAACATAAATCAGGAAATGTTACATGTGGATATATTATAATAAGGTCCTGATTCTAGTAATACTATTGCCTGCAACAGCTCCTCAAATGTGAGTATTTAGCTAAAATGGCACAATCTATTTAGCTGCAGGATTGTCAATCACAATAACATAAGAGTTATTTCTTAAAAATGTTTTATTACTATATAGTTTCCAAATATAAGAAGAAAATAAAATAAATGAAAAAAAGTCACCTGTGGCAAAACTGAAACATAATTGTGTACTGTGAACAGATACATATGTCACCATGGGGAACCGTATTAACCTTAAAGAGTGGTGTAATATTCAGACCTAAAAATATGTAATCCGGCCCTAATGCTTCCGTTAGCACTGACAGTTGTAAACATCTCATATACTGATTATAGTCCACAAATGTGTCTTTATTTTACCAAAGGCAGACGTGGAGACATTTTAAGCCACTTTGTTGCCAAATCTCCACATTAAAATTCTGGTGTAATTTAAACCATTCAGTGGTGAATGGCGCAAAACAGTCCTCCATTGTGTTCCTTGAAAGTTTCTTTACTTTCCATCCGGATGACCCAAAATAAAGCCAAAAAGAACATGGAAAGAACAGCATACAGCATCCAGGCACTTCGTCTGCCACTTCTTTGTGATTTAGCGGAGCCCTTCTCGTTGATTTGATCTCCAAAAAGCAGAACATGTGCTGTCTTTACAATCTTCATATCAGTACAAAATGAGATTGAGTTTCTCAAAAACGTACCTTAATCTATGATGAAGAAAAAAGCCAATTGAGAGGGACAACAACGCAATTTCATTGTTTAAGGAGGGGGCCAAAAGTCATATCCACTCTGCTTTAACACTGCAGAAAGCCAGAAAAATCACTGTTACCGCTAAACCAGTCCAGCTCTTCTGAGATCTTCTCTTCTCAGTGTGTCTTCCTTTTTTACGTCCCCTCATTCCGTCCCTCTTTTCAGGCTTAGTTGACAGTAGGCACCTGGTTGAGGTTGTATTCTTTGGCCTTCAGTCTCAGATTAGCAATGCTATTGGCCATATTCATTCCCTGGGTGGAAGTGGTGTTGGCACAAGTGGGTGGGTAGGTTGCCATGGTGCTGAAAATAAGATATAAAAAAAAGGTCAGTTTTAATGTTACATCCGTTACAAAAACAATCAAAAATGTATGAGAAACAAGCCCCATTTTTAAATTACTGTTATCTTTATGTGAACCCATATGTGTATAAAAAAGTAAAAAGTACTTGCTTTCTGTGGGCAGCATTTTCTGTGGCACTCGCATTGGCCCTCCCTCCGGCCTTGGGTACCAGCTTAAGAATATATAAATAGTTAATAAATCTTCATAAATAGTGCATTAATATGTATGCATTATATCTGTGCAGCAAATTGTGTGCGTTGAAATTGTGCAAGCTTGTTTTACTGGCATGGTCAATGGTCAATGCATATCCACGCCAGAAAGTGTTCCCGGTCGAGTTGCGTGTTTCAGCTGCTGGGAAAAAGATATTTGGCCGGAGTGGCAGTATAGTTACTCTATACGCATTTAAGCATGATGATTACCGTAAATCAAAACCATTGTGTAACTAGAGTCACAAAAAATCCTGCCCAATGGACTTTTCCTCCTCTGAGAGTCAATTTGTATCCTATGGCCCAAAGGTCATGAGGGTCACATGCGGATTTAATATGGTTTGTTTTCAGATTATCACTTCATCATCAGGGGATCGGCCCACCGTCACTTCAACAAAGAGTGGCAAAAAAAACAGCTCACTAGCTGCTTCTTGTGTTACTTTCTACTATTGAACTATGGGAAAATCAGGGCATCGCCGTTCATGTTTGTTTGCCGGCACGGCCCAACGACTCCACCAAAAGAAAACAAGCTTAAGATTGAAATTGTGCAACTGAAAAAAAATCTAATTTAATACGTTTTGAAGAAGAAAACATGAGCAGGCGAAGATGAAGTCACAGCAGGAGAGCAGAAGACATACAGAGAGGAAATGAAATGAAACCAAAGTGCTCAGATGAAAATGATTCAGAGGGTTACCTGTATGGGGCTGCGCTTCCCCAGGATAGGTAGTCATTTGGACGTGGTGCGGGTCGGGGCACGATAGGCTGTTCCACTGCTGTTACGTCTCCTGAATAGGATTTAAGAAGTGAAGCGTTCTTACTGGCCAGCATCGCCCGCTCATTCCGCCGAAACTTTGCCCGTCTATTTTGGAACCACACCTATAAGAACATAAGCCGAAATGACACAGTACAGTGGTTACTCGGGATATTTAGCGCACAGCGATGAAAGATAAATTGCAGAGCAAAGCAGATTCTTAGACTCAAAGCATAACTGGTATAAAATATATGACAGATCAAAGCAATGACGTTTCATCTTTCTGTGATGATAGACTTTTCTGCTTGGGATTGTTACTGACTAGATATGTTTGATTCCATACTGATCTGATTAAGAAAAAAATGGCAAGTAAATTTTTTAGCAAATAAATCAGGAAGCATGTTCTCAGTTTCACTTAGGTAACTTTTTTTTTTTTAACTGAAATGTGAATTGGGTCACACTTTATTTTGAGGTACAATTCTCATTTTTAGCAAACCTTTAACTTAAACCATAAAGTAGCTCAGAAGAATTAGGAGAAGCACTTTATAAGTACAAATACACAACAAATTTCTATAATAATATGGTTAGGGGATTAGCAGACATTTTAAAAGTGAGGGGACAGCTGAATGAGATCCAAAGTTTTATGTTCATTTTATTTTTAATCATCTGCTTCTAAATGATCTCTCTCTAATCGTGAGGGGGATGTATTCCCCCTGTCCCCCTGGTTGCTACAGCTCTGATGCAGGTAATAAGCTACTAGTTAATAGATAGAATTAGTACTTAAATGTTTTCAGTTTGACCTTTTTATGACACTTTTTAAAACTCGGTAGGAATTGAGTCACACTTTATTTTGAGGTACAATTCTCACTATTAACAAATCATTAATTTAAACCATTAATTAGCTCAATAAACTCTTAATTAATCCTTACTAAGGTAGCAGTTGGGTTTAGGCATTAGGTAGAAGAAGCACTTTATAAGTACAAATACACAACACATTTCTATTATAATATGCTGGTAACAGGCTACCAGTTAATAGAGAGAATTAGTACTTAAATGTTTTGAGTTTTATCTTTTTAGGACACTTTTTAAACTTGGTAGGAATTGAGTCACTTTAATTTGAGGAATAATTATTATTACCAAACTCTTAACTTAAACCATTAATTAGCTCAATAAACTCCTAATTAATCATTACTAAGGTAGTAGTTTCGTTTAGGCATTAGATAAAAGAAGCACTTTATAAGTACAAATACACAACACATTTCTATTATAATCTGCAGGTAAAAGGCTACTAGTTAATAGAGAGAATTAGTACTTTAATGTTTTCAGTTTCATCTTTATAGTTCTTTGGAATTGAGTCACTTTATTTTGAGATTTAATTCTCATTATTAACAAACCTTTAACTTCAACCCTTAATTAACAGCAGTGAACATAAACCACACTAAAAAGTGAACTGACACTTTTTCAATTTACTATAATCTTCTACAGTATGTGAAGCTGCTTTGACACAATCTACATTGTAAAAGCGCTATAGAAATAAAGATGAATTGAATTAGCTCAATAAAAACGTAATTAGTCATTAGGTAGTAGTTGGGTTTAGGCATTAGGTAGGAGAAGCACTTTATGTGTACAAATACACAACAAATTTCTTTATTAATAACGAGGTAATGAGCTACTAGTCAATAGAGAGGATTAATACTTAAATGTTTTCAGTTTTATCTTTTTAGGGCACTTTTTATACTCTATCGGAATTTAGTCACTTTATTTTGAGATACAATTGTCACGATTAACAAATCATTAACTTAAACCATTAATTAGCTTAAAAAACTCCTAATTAATAAATACTATGGTAGTAGTTGGGTTTGGGCATTATTTAGGAGAAGCACTTTATAAGTACAAATACACAACACATTTCTTTAATAAGGAGGTAATAAGCTACTAGTTAATAGAGAGAGTTAATACTTAAAATGATAGCTAGAATTTTTGTGTGTATCACAATCACTTTTTTGCACGTTTCACAATCAGTTTCCATTACATGAAGGATTTTTAAACAGAAATGTATTAGAAATGCATTTGCCGTTTTTGCAAAATATCCAACTTTTGTTTCAGCAATACTGTTATAGCCGAGTAATAAATCAGTCAAATACTTTGAAGCCATTCCTTTTAATTTCAGCAATATTTTGCAGAGCTTTTTCAAAATTCCGTCTGATCTGCTGGTGCACACATGTCCACTTTTTTGTGTGCAGAAGACACATCAGAGGCTTAAAGACTGACCAAACGCGCTTGTGAAACATGGTTGAAGACAGAGCGGGAAGCCCAGATCTCGAAGCCTTGGCTGCAGCACCATGCAGGCCTGGTGGAGGCACAGTGTCCGGTTACGCAGCGCCTGAGGAATGAGCTCAAAGTCTCTTTTATCAAAGCATTTCTGTATTGCTCCCTTTCTGGGATACATTAATTGCAGATGTGTTTGTTCTATTTCTTTCCTTTCGTTCTCCCCTTCCTTCTCTTGATCTATAAACGGGAATAATCCCCATCTTTCTACAAAAACAGTCTCATTACAGGAGAATGCAGAGACTGGCTGCGGCCTACAGCATGTGTGCTGAGAGGCCGATTGATCGACTGAGGCTTTTTAAACAATCGAGCTGAACTCTGACGATAGGGCCGATGACAACACAAAGCTCCAGTGTTAACATCACGTTCATCTGTAACTGCAATCCCTGCTGAAACCCCGAAGTAGGCGAGTGGTTTAATCTTCTTTTTCTGAGCTTTTATTTATATAGGCTCTTTTGTAGAATTACCCGTACATTTTTTGTATATTTCTTAGATTTGCAAAATATGTGTTCTCGAATCAACCAGTGAACTGAAAACCTAGTTGACAGTCATTGATGATTGTGAGGTGTGAAGTTTACCTGAACTCTAGCCTCAGTAAGATTGACCCTACGTGCCAAGTCCTCTCTAACAAAGGCATCTGGGTAGTGTGTCCGCTCAAACACTCGCTCCAGCGCCTGCAGCTGGCTGCTGTTAAACGTGGTTCTATTCCTCCGCTGTTTCCGCTTCTTCTTTTCTTCTGAGTTCAGCTGCTCATCTGTATACACACACATGTACAGTTAGTTACCTAAGGAGCTGGAGCTTTTAGATAATTCAAAATTAATTTCCTAAATGTCTTCTAAATGCTGTCGATTTCAAATCTTTAACAAGTAAAAATATAAATATTTTAAAAGATTATATTTAATTTAGGATTATATCTCACTGATATGTTTTTGCAAGGTAAAATTACAGACATAACATATTAAAATACAATCTGAATTTAATTTAATTAATTTAGTTTTCTTTTACATTGACTTGAAAAATAGAATTTAACACATTTAAAACAAATTTACACTTAAGTGATCCCAGTTATTTTTAAATTACTGTACAAATGTAATGAAAATGCTTTGTTTATATATTTCTCACAAGACCATAAACCATGAACAGGCACTGATTTGCATTTTAACTGTCCAGTCATTTATTACTATTTTTTTTGTCTTTTTTTGTGTATTATCATAGAATTGTTTTGACTAATTGCTGCTTCTACTACAAAAAAAACTACATTCTATATTTTTGCTTATTTTGTTTATTCTTCAGTTTGCAGTAAAGAAGAAAAATAAAATCCAAAATCAAACAAAAAGTGCTCAGAGGTAGCTTAAATAATGTGTCGGGGCTCTTTGGGTCCGGGATTCATCAGAATAAACAGTAAATGTCAGCCCAAGGCACTCGAAAAATCTGGAAAAAATATTTAAAGCCTTTATTGACATGGCTATTCCTTTAAAATAAAGAATAAAAAAAGCAGTTTTACGGAATAGCCATGTCAAAAAAGGCTTTTCTTCACATTCTCCACAAATATTTTCTCCACTTTTTTCGAGTGCTTTGGACTAACTTTTGCTTTGTTTATTCTGATGAGAAAAGCAACTAGTGTTACATTTTCTCATTCTGATTAATAGCATAGCAAAATGCCAACTTTTGTTGCACGTTTTTTACAATCAGGTGATAAATAAATAATAAAAAATGGAAAAATGTATTTCAGAACAGATATGTTATCATAAAATGCTTAAAGCATGTATTTCCCTAAGTATCCCAACTTTACAGCCAACAGAACAGAAGTAACTTAGATTCTCAGGAGACTCAATAATCATTCAGCTGACAGCACAGACAAACTGCAGTGTTTTTTGCTTTTCATGACAACAGTAGTTCCACCATCATAATTTTCCTTAAAGGATCACAGGAAAAAAATTGACATTTGACCTAGGCGTAGCAGGGGTATGGTCCCTCTAGGCCAGTTGGAAAGATTGTTAAATGCCAGCATTTTATTAGAGTTTCAGAATCACCAGTTAAGGTCAGTTTAATTACTATTTAAACTTCCTGTTTGCTACATTTAAATGAAAACTCAAGCTGTTTAATGGAGAATTGGCTTGTTAAGGGGAAACTTAAACATGCCACTACTAAATTACTCCAAGATTTGTTTTTTTTAAAAAAGCTGTCAAATAATTAACGAGTGTTTGTAATAATATCTAAAACAATACTATATTCCTTAATGTTGTAATGCCTTGTGGATTTTATTACGTTTTTGTGGCGCATATTTACTTTTTTTTCGGAATTTGTAATTAATACTTATTATAATAGGCACATACTACTACTACTACTACTAATACTACTACTACTGATAATAATAATAATAATAATGATAATAATAATAATAATTATTATTATTCCTATGAGACTTTTATCAGATTTGAGGATTAATTCGGCAAAATCTTAAAACAAATAATGTAAAACCAAACCCTTTTTTCGAGTTTATTGTTATGTGAAATGATGTTTGTGTAATGTTGATTTGCTAAATGAAAGCCCGTGTATTTTCTTTTTATGCGAGCATGGGAATAAAACGGGAAAAACATGCAGACTCGTGCATAAAAACAGAATAGTGACGACAACCTCAATTTTATTTTCCCTATTATATTTTACTTTCATTTGTGATTTATAACAATAAAAACTGCTAAATATAACTTTGTAATTTCATTAATAAAAACGCAATTAACAATCAAATATTTAGCTATATTGTTACGGTTAAAAAATCCCAGTGTAAAAAAGGTAGAAGTAAGATGTGATGTAGCCTAATTTTCTAACAAGAGGTAAATTAAACAGTTACCAAGTAACCTAACATATCATTCTGCAAGACCGCAACAGGCCAAAATAAAAATTGGTTATTTCTTTTTTTGACCGCCTAAACGTGTTAAATACGATTTATATTAAGAGACCTAAGTAATGGAAGTTTGCTATTCGATACCATAATCGCGTATGCATGTTCTCCGGATGCAGAATAATGATTACAAATTATATTGTTTAAACGAACTGAAAAGGTCCAGAAAATTTAGGATTTTCTTTTTTTCTGCGACATTCCTTAATGTCGCTCTTTTTTATGACAGCTTAATTTCCTTTCATAACATTTTTATCCAAACACGTTGCAACATGACTAATAATACATAAATACCCAATTAAATAATAAAAGTCAATGTCAGGAAGCAAGTCTACACATAAAACCAAATACAACACTCACGATATTTACGGGGCCACATTTTCATTAATGCATTACAGGCTGGAATGTCAACAATCATAAATTATGTACAAAATGCCTTGACGACCCATAAACTTTTCTCGCGCCGAATTATTTTTTCACTCTTTTCTTTGGTGTTCTTTTCTTGTTTATTTGTGTTAGTATACTGTTATTTTTGGAAAGAGACTACACATCACGTGTGACTTTGAAAGTAACCATTCAGTTATGGGTCATTGCGTCTCTATTAATGCAGAATTAAATAAAAAAAAATCTACCCTAGATTTTTGTAGGTTGTGTTTGTCTCCGTTGGATATTATTTTATATATTTATAGGTTGTACAACAACACTTGTTGGTTTTTCTATGAGCAGACACTTACTCTCTTGTTGTGTTGTATCACTGCCACTCGTTAAACCCGGAGATTCCAGCATAGTCCTGCCCGTTTCGCCAACACTTTCATCCACCTGAGAACCGACCATTTCTCTTGCCTCCTCTAGATCCAACAGGTGGCTCACCGAGAAGTTCTTTTTGGCTTGCAGGTTTTCCAGGTTGGCTGTAATGGGACTCTCCAGTCTGCTGGATATGGTTGCTTGTCTGTCCATTACATGTGCATAGCTAGAAGTCATGACGCAAATACGATAAAAATTGGCAAGTGTATTATACTAACCAAAACAGTTCCTCCTTGCATATATTTAAGGCAAACTCAAGATAGTCATTGCCTTCAAAACGGGGCCTCCGTCTCTTGGTCGTTACCTATAGGAAAGCAGCTCCTACAGATCCAGGTTGAGTTAACCTAGTCTAAAACTTTGTATAACTTAACGTGACTGTGATGACCACGACGTCTGTTGATTCCGTTTACTCAGAGCCATGTAATCTCTTTTGTCAATGTAGTCAATAAGAAAAAAAACTCCTCGAGCTCCACGGAGTTGTTGACTGAGCGCCGATCCAGAAATGCTGATGCCTTTCAGATGCATGTGTGTAAAGCGTCGAGAGGAGGCAGGGCACTGCACTTCACTCCACCGCCTTCCCGGAGCAGTTGGCTCTCTGCTCTGCTCCACGCCGTGCTCTGCTCACGCACACACACACTCTGGCACTTCAAACGGCGAGCTCACTGGCATGCAGTGGAGTGGATTGTAAATGAAAAATTGAGACCCCTGGGAGAGAAGATGGAGCTGAAAGGCTCTCGTAATTACGTGGCAAAAGACTTTGTGCTGTCTTTGACGTTTAACAGTCCCCCTCCTCCTCCATCACAGCTTCCTTCTTCGAAGGTTAACCCTCCCTGATCTCTGAATCTGTCACCTGATATCATTTCGCACAACCGGAATACACCTAAACGTTAGTCCAAAAACCATATATGCCATATATGAAAATTTGGGTTTTCGAAAGAGCTTGTTTTTTCAGTTTGCGAAGAAAAAAATCACAATGTATTGAAACTTTTGTGAAATGAAATGGTTGTTTTTCACCACTGATGCCAATAAATGACCTATATTTTTAAGAAAGTAACTTTTATAAAAATAAAAAAACAAAAATTTTTGGTCAATCGAAAAGCTACACATGTACACGTCATTTAACTTCTCACAAACGTTAAGAGATCGTCAGGTGAATTAGATTTATGGCAATGAATCAGAAGCAAGATTTTTTTTAAATTGTAACTTTAACACACATACTCACACACAAATTCTTTTTAAAAATAGGTAAAATGGTGTTTGGCATGCATTAATATGGCTTTTAATACTTTTTCAGCCCAAATAAGCGTCTCAAATTACGGAGTGACCTGTCCCAGATTATCAAATTCAGGCAGAATTTTTTTTTGACACAAAATAGGTGTGGCATGGCTCTTTAATATCTACATTATGTTTTCTTGTGTGGTTAGAAAACATCTTAGGGGTTTCAGAAAAGTCTAATATGTTGTTCTAATTAGTTGGATAGACATTGAAAAACAGCTGAAATCAAGATTGCAAAAAGTGTCCCAGATTTTATTTCACCCTATATTTTTAAGTAAGCAACTTTTGCAAAAATATCAAATAAAAATTACAGTCTAGATCAGTGGAATAACACATCATTTTTAACTTCTCACAAAGTTTAGGGGGTCTTCAGGTGCCATGATAAAATTTATGGAAATGAATCGGAGACAACATATAGCCATTTAAATAACCTCTGCGTCGCTGTTTTTGTGAACGAAAAAAAATCAAGGTCGTAGCCTACATTCCCACTACAATCTGATAACCAAGAACGCAAATAACTGACGTTCAAAGTTTTGAGTTTGTGGAAAGTTTTTTGCTCAAACTTTACACAATTAGATTTTTTTTTTTAAAATGTAGCCTAAATTACAGTTGAAAACAACAACAGGATAAAGATCCTGTCTTCAACGTATAGTTAAGACGGGAGTAGTGTCCGGCCACTTGCTGAGTTATAAGCGGTGGCTTTCACAAGGTAGATGTCCGTGTGTTTCAATGGCAAGAGGCTCCTCACTGCCATGCACAGGCATCCCGTAGCTTACAGCCCCAGATCTGGGAAAAGAACACTTGATGCCATCAAAGGAAAACGGATTGAAACCAGATGTGCTCCTTTCGTTCTTTCCATGTATTTAATTAAGCCGCTGTTGGGATGGAGTAGACCTTTTTCATCATTAGTTTTCCCTCTAAATTCCCTCAGCTGCCAGCTTCTCTACAAGCGACTTCTCTCAAAAAGGCCTGCTGTCGGGGTGAGGACTTGTGCGATAGAAGACAGTCAATAAAATCCATCCCCTTTCAACCACAACCAGCAAAAGTTTTATTTTTATTTTTTATTTATATTTCAGATCTTGTGACAGATGTCCGTCATCGTTTGAACTCAGATGTGCCAATTTAGTACCATTATGTAGCCTACATCTGTTTCTGACCCGTTAAAAACAAAATACAACATATTTTTCAGTTTCCTGATGCTTTTTGATTAAGGCCGAAATCAAAATTAATACAGATATATCAAATTTTATTTATTTAATATCAAGGCATAGTTGTCCAATGCACTTCCAACTTGTTTCCATTCAGTTTGCGATTGCTGAGATTGAAATAAAAGAAGGTCGTTTAATGCTTATAATTGACATTTTAATATTTTGTTCAACTGCATGATGTTTTCATGTCTATGAATCACAATCCCCAATTTAACAGCGGGAATCTATGGACAGAACAATGAAATGAAAGTCTTTAGCTCCAACTGAAAAAAAAACAACAACTGACAAATCATTTTATAATTGTATTTTCCAAATGCATTTTTACCTGTTAAGAATGTTCCCATATATAACTTTTTTACGCAAGTCTATGTCTGTAAGCTAATTGAAAACATAACTCATGACATAAGTCTGTGAATTGACATTATGACATTGTAATAAACACAGACTCAACAATGCAGCTTAACGCATGCATTACAAAAGGAATTAATTTGCAACCTAATCTAAATAAAACCCCACACAAGGACAATAAGGACCACATTTTACGCCTCGGAAAACATAAATTGCTTCATTTATATCCACGAATCCGAACATTTTATTAATCAAAAACCGCGCGTATTCTATTTGTTTATAACTGGGTAATTTACAGCAGTTAAAACAAGACCCTCTTGCACGAAAAGCACTGAGCAATTTGTGTAAATCTGTTAACCTAAATAACCCAATTTTAATGGACACACACCACGCTAAAGACTAGAAAACTCGGATGCAAATGTGACTGGTATGATATAGCCTATAGCAAGCAGATTAGACCTACTCTTAAAATAAGGGTTATAGCTACATTTGCTATTATATGAAAAACGTTTTGATATGGCCTAGCCTATCCAGAGCCGCCTTAATTTTCCAAACAATGAGAAAAATATATATTTTTAAAGGCGCATAATTTATCCCACAGCAGAATTATTGCTCATAATGCAATAAACATATAGGATCTTAACTAGTTTTGAATGGCAAGTTGAACGACCGGCTCTATTTAATTCCCCTGTCCCTATCATAAAGACGCGTGTGCATGCCTGCAAGTGTTTCCTGCGCGGGATATAAAGAGCGAGCACAGAAGAAAATAAGTTAATGGTAATTTGGGAAATAAAAGCGGACTGAGCCCGCGGTCGTCTAATCAGCACCAGGGGTCAATGGACAGCACTACTGCTCTTGATGTTTAACACGTCAGAATGCTGAATTCAGGTGGCTACAAGCACAGAGATAAAAGTTTTGCAATAAATAAACCGTTTATTAATAGGACAACAAAATGTTTAAAATCCAGTTAAATAAGTGTAATACCTTTATCTGAAAATATTATCACGAATTTATTTTGTTTCGATTTAGCCTATTTATTATACTTTCGTTATTTAATCTGTATACAATAAAAACCTGTAGGCTAAACATGTTTGCTCAAAACGATAGGCAAATTGCTTTTAAAACGTGTATCGTATTTTATGAGTTTATGGTTGCAATACGGAATATAATTTAAGTTTAATCATAAATTATTAAAAATAGCGCAAATAATAACTTGTATCGGTCATTAATAGTGGTTGTTTTGTATTTTGCTTTTCTTGCAAGTGGATCTTCATGATCGAAACTTTTGCCAGAACTCAGATTTTTTTCACTAAAAGTTAATCTTGTGAACTTTTTTCGCTATATTTCCCAAGAGTTTCTCGGGTTACGGAGTCTTTTCAACCTGTCCCGGCGGACTGAGGGCACATAAATCAGAAATGCGCTCTCGCAAACTGTGCTTCTCCTTTCCTGTATTTACTTCCAGAATTTGTCAGTCCTTGTTTTGTACAATCAAACCAGAATATAAAGAAAGTAATAGGCTACTGCAGGTAATATTTTAGTGATTTCATCTTATTACATGGAATTATAATATTTAATGTAGCTCTTGTAAACATTAACGCATTATGCACCTTTTAATTCATAATATAGCAAAACAATCTTTTCTATTTCTCAATAGCCGTCCATATATTTCTGAACGCTTTAAATGTTTAATTGATATCTATAATAGCACTGCAAAGATGTTTCCCTAAAAACTGCTTACATCCTATTAAAAAGATAAAATCAACTTACATAATCTTCACAACAAATTAAAACATTCTCCTTTAGATGTTTAAAAGTCATACAAAAATGTAAACTGGTCTTTTAGAAAGTATATAGTCTTGAGTGCAATAAAAAAAAAAAAAAACTTAAAACGGATTGATATTTAAATATTTTATTTAACCATTAAAATATGTATATGCCTTGACACCCATTCGTGCACGCATGAAATGAAACGAAAGACATTACAATTTACTTAAAAAAAAAAAAAAGTCATATCCTAAACCTTTTTTAAAAATAAATATCCTGACCATTATATAAAATGTTTTCATAGTTGATGACGGGCTCTATAAGAGCATTTGACAAGATTTTTAAATTCTATATACTTTTCACACTCCAATAGAATTTTCCCTCATACTGTACAAAACAATCTCTGCTGAGTAAACCATCAGCTTTGCAAGAAAAAAAAAACTGCTGTTATTGATTTGTTAACATTCGCATAACGTTACTTTTATGAGACAACCACCATATACAGATAAAAGATCCCACCATACACTTGTGCAACATCATGTGAAATAAATCATGACTACAAACTACCACCAGACCGCCTGCCACTAATTCATTTTGAATAGTGTCACAGTTATGGAACGATATAAAATTAACAGTATTTAGTATTTAATGTAGTGTTTTCAAGAGATTTGTGGTCCATTTTCTTAATGCAAGACAGATTAAATTATACAATGACATCCAGATGAAGCACAATAAAAGGATGCAGCATTGTTTTAACTCCTCACATTCAGGATCAAGTAACAGTTTAAATGAAAACAATCACAATCAATATCTGAGTCCCATAATGCCAAGGCATTTTAGCGTTAGTAGTAATGGAATTACCTTCATGGCATTTGAGAAGACACCAACATGGCTTTTGTATAATCCAAAAATGCCAAAAATGTTTAAATAAAGAAATATAGGATCATTGCTTTTGTTCAGCATTCTCACACAATAGAGATATTTGTAAAGCTGGTAGCAAGTGTTATGTAAAGCGTTATGAAGCCTCTTTTAAATTAATGATGCTTGGAAGCTAGCGAAGCCCATCTGCTGAAACATCTGCTGCTTCACTCTCCTGATTGTCTTGGCTGATCTTGGTTTCTGTAATGGAACTGTCTTTGCTCATACTTGAGCCATTCGCCTCTGTACATCTCTCCAGCTCTGCTGCAGGACCGTTCTCAGTAACAGGCTCTTTCTGTTTGTCCTGTAGTTGCGTTTGATCTGGACTGGGCACTTCCTCAGCATTTAGCTCCAGCTGCAGCATCAGCTCTTCCAGTTTGCGGGCCTTGCGCAGCTCGTTCTGTTGGATGATTGCACACAGGTGCTCTGTCAGCTGCTCTTTCACCTCGGTCTTCCTGTGCAAGTCCATCTTAGCGGCAACATACTCAGCCTCTGCTTTCTCAAAGCGCTTCCTGTTAACAGTGAGAGGGATCGGCAGAGATAGTAGAGTTAGATGTATGAAGATCAATACAAGCTTGAGGTGAAGGAACACTGAATTCTTTTAAAAATAAATGACCAAGTTCATACATTCATTTTCCTTTTGGCTTAGTCCCTTTATTAATCTGAGGTCACCACAGTGGAATGAACCGCCAACTTATTCAGCATATATTTTACACAGCGGATACCCTTCCAGTTGCAACCCATCACTGGGAACCACCCATACTCTCTCCTTCACACACATACACTATGTACAATTTAGCTTACCCAATTTACCTATAGCGCGTCTTTGGAATTGTGGGGGAAACCGGAGCAAGTAACCAAGTTAATTTAATAAAATAAAAGCTTGCAGTAAAGCCTAACTAATAGATAGAGGGGGTCATTTTCAAAATAAAGGATTCCTAGTAAATGATGAGGAATAAGTGAAACACATTAGTATTCCATTATTTTTCAAATTTTATTTATGCAATATTGCATTTCAAGTAAATAAAATTAATTATCTGAGTGATACTCACACTTTCTCTACACACACACACATATACAATATGCATAGAATATAGAAGAGTTCAGATGCAGAAGCCTCTAACTGCCAGCTTAGAAAGCAATACAAAGTTCTTTTGTGTAAAAGGATTGGTTATAAGCGATTTTCTACTAGTGTGCATTAGCATTTTAAATGACAAACTACCTTGAAGGGTCTTTTAAATCTCATTGTTATTGGTAAATGTTAGGTGCCTCTCTTTTGTATGTGTACCGAGTTCAAGACAAATTTGCTATTTGAGACCAAGATGAATTTCCTGAAAAGTATAACTCAAGTCATTTAAAATTTTCTTCCAAAACTAGCATTTTTTGCAGCCTCGTGTTTCTTTTTTATTATTTCACTTTAAAAACAAAAAGAACCATAAAAAGCCATAAAATCGCCATAAAAAAAGACAAAACTGAACATACACACAGAAGCCTTCAAAAAATTTTTTAGAATTTGGACAATTTTAGTAGTTTATAGAATTAAACAATTTGGTAATGGTTTGTTTATTTATTTGTTTGTATACTTTATTGTACCTCAAGGGGAAATTTCCCTGGACTCTCAGAGCACTTCAAGTTCTGACACAATAAAAATGATAAAATAAGCAAACATCCTAAAGAATTACATACAGGAAAAAACGTAAGCACACTATCGATCCATGTTCAATAGTCTGATTGACACTGGGATAAAAAGAGTTCTAAAGTCTGTTCCGTTTCTACCGTGAGGTTCTGCATCTTCTATCAGATCGTAAAATGGAAAGTGTACATGAGATGGATTGCTTAGAATTCTTTTTTACTTCATTCAGACTGCATTGCTCATAAAGTGTTTGAATACTATTTATGTTGATAGATTACAGGAAGGCTTCTCCTACCCCCAGCATAACAACTAGTAAAGGTGTGGTCATTGAAATTGTTGACACACATAAATATCTAGGGGTCTTTATCTACAATATGTTGACATAACACCCAGGCTGTTTATAAAAAATAAAAACATTCAAAGACTTTTTTTTTCTGGGAAACTTCGATAATTTGGGGTTTGCAGCTCTATGGTGTCACTGTTTTATAAACAATTTATTGAATCTGTTTTATCTTTCTGCATTTTTGCTTGTTACAGTAATCCGAGTCTGTCAAATAAGAACAGGTTGAGTAGTCTTGTGAAGGTGGCAGGCAAGGTCATCGGTTTTAACTAAACTGTTCCAATGATAATTTACCATAATTATGTTTTAAAGAGAGCTCAGGGTATCTTATGCACTCCAGGTCACCCATTGTTCTCCGTGTTTTAGCTGCTGCCATCAGGATGTCATTTTAGAGTTCCTAATGGGCATTGTCCTGCAAATAGGTAGCCATTAGGTCATTAAATGAGTCCAGTGGGGAGGGAGATGCATCTAAATATGATGTATTGTATGATTTGTGGTAATATTTTGCTAATGTGTACATGGAACTTTGCCTGTGTTATGGCACCTTACTGCAATTTTACTTTCTCTAAATGGGATACTAAAGTTGAGTCCGAGTTTGAAATTTTACTTCACTATATTGTCATTTAAAAATGTTAAACTTTATTGCAAAAAAAAATTCAAAAGGAGCAATATTGTGTGAAAAGTGTAAATTGTGCAAAAGTTACAAGTAATAATTCACATGCACATGCAGTTGTCTTGTTCATAATTTAGTTGAATTGATATATAGAGGCTACAGAGGGCAGCATTTTCACTCCTGAATTAACAGATTCAATGTACTATATCCAGTATTAATATTAATAATCAGATCAGTAGTACTCAGTTTGGCCAACTACTATTTTAAAGTGACATACTTTAAACAAAGTGACACTTTCAACAAGAAGCTGCTGAAATCTCTGTTTTGTTTTCATGGAATAGACTGTAATAATAATAATCACCATGCCAGGGAATAATCCATGCTGGATTGCTCGATCAGTTTTCTGAGAACCCCAATGTCACTGGACACAGAATCATCAAGCACCTGAAGTTCTCTCTGGATCTTCTTCAGTTTTATGGCTTCAGCCTGTGTCTGTTTAGACCTGCAAAAGGGATTTTGCACACATTCAAAATAGTATTAAACTTTAGACAGATGGGTTTTGATCGTTTGAAAGGAGAGATTTGCTCTTACTTTTCAGCAATAGTCTTTGTAAGGAGAGCTTTTCTTTTTTTATTCTTCTCTTCCATGATCCTCTGTTCCCACTGCAACTGCTGCAGACGGTTCTTCTCCCGCCTGTTACAACAATGCACACAAACATTATTTAGTTGTTAAATGTTATATAAAATAAGCATATTTCAGGTGTTCATTTAAATTTGCCTTTCCAAGTCCATCTAGCTATTGACTAGCCCAGGGGTGGCCAACCCTGTTCTTGGAGAGCCACCTTCCTGCAGATTTCAGTTGCAACCCACATCAAACACACCTGCCTGTAATTATCACGTGGTGTTCAGGTCCTAATTAATTGATTCACGTTTGTTTGATATGGGTAGCAACTGAAATCAGCAGGAAGGTGGCTCTCCAGGAACAGGGTTGGCCACCCCTGGACTAGCCAATTAGCAAAATCACCAGGGGGCACAATTTCAGCAAAAATGTGTTTATTAAATTTTCTACTGAATCAAAAAAGTCGAATGAGTAAAATCAGCAATAAATGGGTGGGTAAACTATCTTTTTATAAAGATGTAAGCTATAAACAGTGTCTGAGCTAGTGTTTGCAAAGGAAATGGACTTACTAACAATTCCACTTCCTGTTTGTCAAGCTCCTTGAAGTCTGCAGGTGGTATAGACTGGACAGGGGATGCTGGGTCAGGCTTAACAGGTTCTGCCTCATGCTTGACCGGTACTGACTGCTCGTCTGGTGTTTCAGCAGGAGGAGCGGGGTGACTGGAAGCTGGTGGCTCTGGTGGTCTGGTAAGCTGTTGGTCGGATAGAAGAGACTGACTGATCTCCTTCTGTTTGGCCGCCAGCTGAAGAGCCCTCTCCCGCTGCAGCTGCTGTCTGCTCCGGTTAGTCTGAGCAGGTTCCCGGCCACGACCCAATGTGACAGACACAGCCTGATTTGCTGGAGGATGATTTGAACAGAGGTATCACTACTCAAATAAGTGTCTGAGCCCTAAAATCTGAGACTAACTTGTGCATATATCTTAAGACTTTCTGAGATGTATTTAAGACGAAGCACTGTAAGCAAAAAAAAAAAAAAAATTGTTACATGAACCTGTCAAATTTGACCTTTTTGGGTTTTAAATCTATTGTCAATAGAATATACACTTTAATTTCTTGCTGCATTTTTAGCACAGAGTCTAAATGTCAAAAATATACCCTTAAGCAACACTTGCATAAACAAATTTATTCATATCTGTATTCTGAAGTGCAGTTGGAAAGACATCTGTTGCCATAGTAATCGGCAGATCATTCCACTGTGGCAACCCCTGATAAATATGGGAATAAGCTGAAGGTGAGTGAATTTCAACTTTTTAAAAGAGGAATGTGCAAACATAATTTGCCTGACTATATACAAATTTTTATTCTGCAAATTAGTGAACATGTTTTGTTAGCAGTTTGCAGTATTTTCTGATTTATGGAAAGGTTTATATTTTTTTTAAAAGTTATCCACACCTAAAAACATTGTTGTTTTTAACATTTACTAAAAATAATACTAACAACATTAAAATAAAATTAAAGCCAAGAATTTTGAACTTAACTGACTTCATGTTCAATGTGCAATAATTTGCATTAAATCTTTGGCGTATTTCAACGTAACATTAATATAACTCTTGTAATGTAAAACAGTTTCTTAACGTATTCTTAAATACATAAACAAATACTTAATAAACTGAGTAAATACTGTTGATAGTACTACATTTTACCTTATTCACCAGCAGTGTCTTGGCTTAATAACTTACAAAATACAGTCAGAATAAATGACGATTTAGTAATTGAGGTAAAGTTGGCTTTATATTCGCACTATCGCACAGTGAAACGGTCCCAATGTTTTTTTTATCACTTTATTTTGAATATTCGGTCAGAAATCGCATGCAAATATGACTTCAAAAACAACATTAGGACTATTTGGTTGACCGTATCATTGGCTGCTAATATTAAATATTAAATTATTTGCTATATTTACAATTTGCAAAGAATTTTTAAAATTAAATTATTAAGGAGAAAGTCCGAATGTGTGAATATAAAACCAACTTTACGTTACCTCAATTGATTTGGTTACATATGCATGCAGACGGCACGAATGAAAAAAAGTTTTCGAGTGAAGTTTTAGCACTTGTACTCACCAACTTCGCCGTTGTGCTGCAGTTTTCGCAGTTCTTCCTCTGAAAATCCAGCCCAAGCAGCCATTTTCAATACACTATAGAGTTGCTCGCAGCTATAATGTAAATCGGGCATTAGCAAAGACAAATAGTTGTTGATTTAAATGTTCCTTTTTACCTACAAATACGGTAACAATTTTAAGAGCTCATCTGGCCGCCATGTTTGTGTATAAAGACTGCCACGTTCAAGACCCTAAAAAGGCCCCCTTCGCGTGTGCCCTCTGAAGTTGCCTGTCTGTTTTGTTTTATTATTTACACTGATATTGTATATGCTGTATGAGTATAATATTTCGAACGAAATACAACTGTTTATAATTGTATAATTTTCTTGTAAATTTGATTAAATATTTTTTTATGTTATGATGTACTTATGTTTTTAGTTGCAGGCAATAGTTATAGGAAATAAACTTTATAAAAACGTTCCCTACTAAAAAAATGAAAAGATGTATCCAGTATTTATAAACAGTAAGCTAAAAAGGTAATTTACTGCATCCACTGGGATTTTGAAGCGTGGACTCACTAAAAACAAACAAAAATACAACAATAACTGCACCATTTTAAGGAATGTAAACAATAACAATGCTCCTAATGTATTTCCTGTTTTACATTTTTCATTTCTGTAGCTTACGAGAATGCAAAAAGGTTCACATATTGATCAATAATGTTATAATAGCTGTTTTAACATTAAGTTATGACTGAACTGGCTCTTGTTACAGTTATGAAATAGCTTGATAACAAGCAGGAAATGTTCATGGGCCAATAACATCACCACATTAAAATGGTCTATACAGTATTAAGACAGACTTTCTATGGCAGGGATGCCCAGACTCGGTCCTGGAGGGGGGGTGTCCTGCATATTTTAATTTCAACCCCAATTAAACACACCTAAACCAGCTAATCAAGCTATTTCTAGGTATACTAAAACTTCCAGGCAAGACAAGTGTGTTAAAGGAATTGAAAGCTAAACAATGCAGAACACCGGCCCTCCAGGACCGAGTTTGGACATCCCTGTATGGTATTTATTCAATATTATAAATTTAATCAATTATGTTTAAAAAAAAAGTTAAAAGGAAATCCATGTTGACCTTGGTCACAGCGCTAAATAAATAAATGAAGAATAAAATATATATACAAAATAAAAAAATATATAAAATGTGAAAATTAAATAAAATACATTAAATTTATAATAATTATACATTTAGAAAAATTATTAATTCAGTCATTCATTTATTCATTTCATTCATTTTTGGCTTTTAGTCCCTTTATTAATCAGGGGTCGCCACAGCGGAATGAACTGCCAACCTATACAGCGGATGCACTTCTAGCTGTAACCCAGCACTGGGAAACATCCATACACTACAGCCATACATTACACACACATACACTACGGCCAATTTAGATTATTGAATTTACCACATGTCTTTGAACTTTGTGGGAAACCAGAAACACCTGGAAACATAGGGAAAACATGCAAACTCCACACAAAAATGCCAACTGAACCAGCCGTGGCTTGAACTAGTTACCTTCTTGCTGTGAGGTGATCATGCTACCCACTGCGCCACTGCGCCACTGCAACTGATTATTAATTCAATTTTTATTGTTACCATTGACCTGGATATTTTAAATAATTGCACAACGAACTGTGGCACTGTTTGGTAAAATAGGTTTAAATAAAATAACAAAAAGAATATGCTTAGAGGATATAAGCCAGTGGTTTAAACAGGTTAGACTGTATTATTATTGTTTTTTTTGTCTAACTACTGCATAACTATTTTTTGAATATTGCATGAAAAGAGTTTGTTTTTAATCTGTCCTCCAGGAAATCTACATCAGACTATTGGATTCGACGACTAATTTTGTTTATCCTCATCTTCTTGCTCCAATTACCCTCTTTACGTTGACTGAGCCATCCTGCGCTCCTCGTGCTCGAGAGGTCAGAGGTTAATGAAAGAGCAAGCTTGCTGATAAAAAGCATGAAATCCTCAGAGAAAAGGAAACGTCAAACAGTTGGATCATATTACACTCTTTGCTTTATTGCCAGAAGCTGCCATGATTGTGCAGAGCTCCAGCGCTCGGTGTCAGGCTTTGGGAGGCCCACTAATTTCTTTGGATTAGTCTGAGTTAACTTGAGTTTGCTGCGTTAGCCGCAACACTGATGTCTGATTTCCTAATACTAGCAGCAGTATCAGTGAGATATTCTGGGTTTGACCTTCATTTGTTTGGTGTTGAGCTGCCAGTGTTGGCAAGTATCGGAATTTAATGTTTAAACGCTGTCATATACACTGCAAAAAATGTTGGGTTCAACACAATTCCTTCATGCTGTCCTGACACAAATCCATTAAGTTAATGTAATTGTTTTTACAAATTTAAGTGAATTGGACAGAAAAACAAATATTTGCCCCCCTCAAGACTTGTGTTGATTCAGCTCATTTTAAATAAGTAGTTTGAACAAACAGCAAAAAATATTTTGAAATCCAGACAATATACACACTATAGGGAGGCGTATAGAATTTTGCCAGGAACTTCAAAACAGAATATTATTAAAAAATAATAATGTTCTTATTTTTGTTCAATTTATGGCATGACAAGTAACAATGCATTAATGTTTGCCGAAATTATTGTGCATTTTTTCTTTTTCAAGAGAGAATATGTTAATATATTTTTAATCAATTAACTGTAAATAACTGTAAATTGACAGAATTCCCTGCATGATACACTTGTCAGGCCCTTAGCTAGGGGGGTACCCCCACTGACAAAGGTCCAGAATTTGTCCCATACATGAGCTCATTTGTCCTCTTTTGACAAGTAAGCCATCATAATTTGTGAAAATAACCCATCAAAGGCTTTAAGCAGAATCTGAAGTAAGTGAAGTCATCTTTTAGTACTGTATTGTTGGTAAATAGAGACAAGGAATTTTACAAGAAATGTTTATTCTAAATCTTGGGCCTTATTCTTGAAAAAAAGACCAAATTTTAATACTAATTAGGCTATTGTTGTTATTTGTGATTTTTCAAATGTACCTTTTACAAGAGAGACATTATTAAAATACATTATTATTGTTATTATGTTTTGATCGTTCAATATTTAAGTGACCAAATTCTGACAGAGGAAAGTTGAATGTGCTGCTCAGTTTGTTATTTGCCTAATAAATGAAAATAGGCTATAGTTTTTCATTTCAAACTTGAACACATTTCATTTTTCTCCTAATGCTCCTTTAAAAAATAAGTATTTCTTTCTTCATTTTCCTTTATTTTAACTCTTAAGGAAATTTTTTAGTATAAAAATGTGCAAGTATGATGATCTTCCTACAAGCTAATCGAGTTGAAAAATAATACTTAAAATGTCACTAAATTCAGTATTTAAACCTCACAATTAAAAAGGAAATTTAGTGAAAAATTGCAAAAAGGTCCCCCTTTCACTAGGCTGGCTACAGGCTTGCTTGTTTATGTTTTTTTCTCATCAGTGATGTACATTAGAGTTTTATGTTGCATTGTATAGATTTTAGTACTTAAAAAACAATGAAATATGGTTGTATGCCATACATTTAAAAATATATGTATTTTACCAAATTTCTGTTACTTTTCATTTCTATCGAATTTTAATGGTACAATTCTGCCAACCACACCACCTATTTCTTACAGTAAGATGTTATCATAAAATAAGTATTCTTCATGTGAATAAATTTCTATATATACAATATAATATAGAATTACATTTAGCAAAAAAAAGCTTTTAAAAACAGAACAAAAATAAATATTAACATTATTATTCTGTTTAAATAAAATATATATTCAGCACAATAAAATCTGATCATTCATTTATGTGCGATTAATTTTAATTAAATAATTGTATTGGTGATAAACATCTGCGTCTGATTCAATATTGAATTGCTTATATTCTAAAAACACAACATGACCTAAATACTTCACATATTTCTTTTTTTCATTCTCTTTGAGTAATCCTTCACAAATATCACCTTTTAACTCATCTAAATTGGCATTCGCCTTTGACAGATTTGGCCTGTTGCCCTCAGGGTGCAGTGTGTTACCATGACATAACACTTCATCCCGACGGGAAAAGCATACAAATACAGACTAACAGCTAAACAGTCACTTTAATTCTCTCTAGTCACTTTCTTTGAAAAAATAAAAATAATAATAAAAAGCTGTGTCTGCATGTCAACACAGAAAGAAAAAATACACATCCCTCCAATCAGTTCCTCAACTGTATTTTGTTAAGAAGTCAAGCACGGTTAATTGCCCTACAACGGCCAGCCAAACAATCACTGCCACTTCACAGCAGCTTTTTAAAGGCACACTCACATCTTTGATCCATCTGGAGTTATTTGTGCACTTTAAAGGAGAAACACCTCAGGAAAGGATAAATGTAGACTTCGAGAAGACAGACTGATGCGTGTGCTCCATATGGCAGACCAAGTGAACGTGAGCTTGTGTTAAATTAAGATGGAAGAGTCTTTGGCCCAAGCATGACCAGATTCTTAGTTACAAGAAAGGAAAAAAAGATGTGAGAAATATCCACCATCACCCAAAGAACAAGCAGCATGAATTTGCAGTTCATTCGTTCAAACTTCAGAGCAAAGATGGCAGTGTTAAATTATGTGCCAGAAAGAAAAAAGAAATGAAAATATAAAGCAGGCAGAATAAATCATACACTTTTGTTTTGAATTAATGTTTCAATGTGTTGAGAGAAGCACACTCCTATTTGAATGTGAGACTAAATATAGTTTTGTTAAATACGACATAGTTTTTTGCATTAATAAAACCACTATTGCTGGTTTTTAGTGACATGCTATCTTATTTTATGAGTTATATTATCCATAGTTAAAAAATGTGCAGGGAACATCACCTAACACTTTGGTAACAAGTTCGGTTTGGCTATCTAAAATTAAACAGACAGATAAAGTTTCTTTTAGACATAACATAAGTATGCATGAATCATATGGAACTATTTGACAGAGGGGCAAAAAATAATGATTTATTATGTGTTAAATGCATGAAATAGCTTTATTTTGGCTGGGGGAGATATATATTTAAGAAAACTGTGGCTGCACAGTCCAGTATTAAAAGGTTAGTTCACCCTAGAAAGAAAATAATGCTAGCATTTTCTCACCCTCACATCAGTCCAAACCCAAAAGACTTTCGTTCATCTTCAGAAATGAAATGAAGATGTTTTT